AGACAGGAAAGGGAGGGAGTGTGAAGCTGTTGTTTCTGAGATCATCCTCCCTTTGAAGAAAATTTGCTTCTTTTTAAAGCTATGATCAAAGCCCCCCTTCGTCTTCCATCCCCCTGGTTTGAACTGTGAGAGGAGGCTGGATCACAAGAGAGCTTTACCACAGATCAGCATGTTTTCTGACACAGATCAGCATGTCTGCTGAAGGCAAGGATAGCCTTGACCTGTGTTGATTGTTTGCGTTGTCACCTTGTATGACATGGAAGGATGTTAATATACCCTCAGAGAGAGAGAGAGAGAGAGAGAGAGAGAGAGAGAGAGAGAGAGAGAGAGAGACAGACAGACAGACAGACAGACAGACAGACAGACAGACAGACAGACAGACAGACAGACAGACAGACAGACAGACAGACAGACAGACAGACAGACAAAGAGAGAGAGGAGAGAGAGAGAGAGAGAGAGAGAGAGAGAGAGAGAGAGAGAGAGAGAGAGTGAGTGAGTGCTTGAGAAAGCAAGGAAAGAAGCAGAGATGTCAGAGAGAGAGTAGTTGTAAGACAGTCAGCCGAAACACTTGGGTGAGAGAGAGAGGGAGGGGGGAGAGGGAGTGCTCTCGAGAGAGAGATAGAGAAAGATAGAGCCTGGGAGCGTGAGACTGAGAGAAAGAGAGAGAGGGAGAGAGAGAGAGAGAGAGAGAGAGAGAGAGAGAGAGAGAGAGAGAGAGAGAGAGAGAGAGAGAGAGAGAGAGAAAGAGAAAGACAGGGAGGGAGGGAGAGAGAGGGGGGGAGACTGGGTGAGGACTAATTCATTTCTCTTGAAGTTGTTTAGCGCCATTATAAACAACACAGACCACGATTAATTTAACGTATTATTATTATTATTATTATTAATTATTATTATTATTATTATTATTATTATTATTATTATTATTATTATTATTATTATTATTATTATTATTATTATTATTATAATACTTAATAATTTATAAAAATAATAATAATTAATTTTAAAAAAAGATCACCACAAGGTACCCACACCCTGGTGGCTCTATAGGAGCTTCACAATAAAATAGATTTAATGGTGTTTTTAAAGACATAATACACACTCGCAATCTGACAAAGAACTCATACCACAGCTTACTAGATTGTCTCATACACACAAAGACAATCACTGTGCCTACTGAACACACTTGGTTTTGGAAGAAGAGCAAAACCAGTTAGTAAAATGAGAATCAAATATGTTTTTAGCCAAAATGTAAATGCGACCGCAGGTGGCGCCTCTCTTAAATGAATAGGAGGGAAATTCACACTGAAGGAAAAGTTGTCGAAAAAGCCCTTATACCTCCATTTTAAAACAACATCAACAACAACAACAATAAACAAAACAAAGCCCGTCCTGAGGAGTTGGGTTTTTGTTGTTGTTGTTGTTGTTGTTTTAATAAGCCTACTGGATCGTAAATTTCGAGATAGAATATACCCATGTACATGTAGTAAACCAGAAAGGCATTGTGGTGCCACATCGTTTAAACGCATATTACCAGACTGCAACTCTGTAATGAAATAATAAAAGGGCTTTAATAGAGAGCCATGGTGGCTGTAAAAGCTTGCTTGTGTTGTTTTAACTCTTACAATTATAGGCCTTTTGAGAACGACTCTCGCAGCTAGGTTCTAGAGTCTTTGCAGATTATTCATTATTTCTGTTGGTATGTTTATAAGGAGTGAGTTACAATAATCAATACGAGATAATAGATCTACATGTACAAATGATGACATCAGTGTCTAAAAAGAGATGTCTCGCTTTAAAAAAGTTGTCATTTGTGCAATTCTTCTGATCTCTAAATATTATGCAGCCTTGCATGGATTTTGGATTTGGTTTTACATGGACAATCTGTTGTCAAATATACGAGGTCTGTCTCGGAATAAAGTTTCCCTCCTCAATAAAAACTCAAAGTACGCAACCAACAGCCACTAAAGTTTGTGAGGTCATGACACCATGACTAAGAAATCTCAACGCCAGATTGCAATTGCATTGGTGAACGGATCATAGAGCTGTGACGTGTCAAGTGTAGTGTACTTGTGCACTTTGTCCAAGGCAAATCCGAGGGAAATGGCTGGGCAAAACATTGGTGCAACCTTCTCATGCTACGATGTCTGAGTTGTAATCAAATTTTCAACTCTTCTCGGCAAT